ATTATATAATATACAACAATATGGCCTGCTCACAGACAGGGCTTTGCCTAAACCAGGATTAGGTCATGGTTCAATCAGGATATTTAAGTAGCTTTTATAACTGCTGTGCGTCTTGAGACAAAAGAAAGGCACTGATGTATTTTAAGATCAGTCCGTGCGAGTTTCTTTCAGTTGAAACAGCTCAGAATCACACTTATGTCTGTGAAACCAGGGGTATATGATTGCACTTGTATTATTAGAATAATATTTCTATGGATATTTACACATAACAACACATGAGGAAACGGATGACGTGTGTGCTGTGGTGAGGACAGCTGCTGGCCTCCAAAAGCGGCTGATGAAGGGACAGAGGACGGGCTCCAGAAGCGTTGATGAAGGGACAGAGGGCGGGCTCCAGAAGCGGCTGATGAAGGGACAGAGGACGGGCTCCAGAAGCGGCTGATGAAGGGACAGAGGACGGGCTCCAGAAGCGTTGATGAAGGGACAGAGGACGGGCTCCAGAAGCGCTGATGAAGGATCAGAGGACGGCTGATGAAGGAACAGAGGACGGGCTCCAGAAGCGCTGATGAAGGGACTCCAGGAGCAGAGGACGGGCTCCAGAAGCGACGGTACCAGCAGCAGCAGTAGTTTTTTATTATAATTATATATACTTGTATATAACGTTTTATTAGCATTGCATTATAATATAGTACTAATATATATATTAGTATTATATTTGCATGGCTCTAACATGGTATTTGACCAAAAACAGCAGCAGTATATTTCCTGACCTATATAATCAGAATATATGAAGCCTGATGTTTATACTTTTCATCTGAATCTTCACAATCATTTTAAATCTCATGATTAACTCGGTCTGTTCTTCCTGTTTAATATATATATGAGCAGATAATCATATATTTAATTGAAAAACAAGCTGAAACGCCGTTAATCTGTGTAAAACTCACCTTGTTCTGCGTGAGCGGAGCTAATATTGTGTAACGCTGAACGACGCGGAGTCCCTGGTGTCTGTTACTGTTACTGATGCTGCCGCCACCCAGCGGCGCGGAGGAGCAACGACACCCACAGAACAGCTCAAATAATAAAATATTTTTTCTTCTTCTTTAATGTAAACTCTGTGTTTGTCTCAATGGAAGTGTCTTGCATTGTTGGTTGTTCCCTGTCTTGTTATGTATGGACATTAAGCAATAAAAAAATAAACAAATAAATAAATAAATAAAATAAAATAATAATAAAATAAAATAATAACATACAATAAAATAAAATAAAAAATAAGATAAAATAAAATAGGATAAAAATAAGAGATAAAATAAAATAAAATAAGATAAAAAAATAAGATACAATAAAATAAAATAAAATAATCAAATAAGATAAGATAAAATAAAAGATTAAAAAAATAAGATACAATACAATAAAATAAAATAAAATAAAAAATAAGATAAAATAAAATAAAATAAAATAGGATAAAAAAATAAGATAAAATAAAATAAAATAAAATAATAAAATAAAATTGGCCAAACAGTTCTGGCTGTATACAGTAATTACAAAGACATCATCTAACTATACGAAGTTATTACACCATGTTGCCAATGAAATCATGCATTTTATTTTTAGGTCTTTGCTGGGACACATTTGCATTACATATATTTACATTTATTACTTTAGTGTTTATCCAAAACAGCTTACAAATGAGGAACAATGTGTTATCACCAACAATTTTTAGTAAAATAATACTGAACAATAGTCTCATGTAACCTGTAATAAGCGGTAACCTGCAACTGTTACCTTAATAAAGAGTTATTTCTACCCAGTTTAACCCATAACCATTAGTTGTTGTTGTTTTTTGCATAAATGAATGCGTTTAGGTTGATTCAGTGATGTGACTTAAATAAAACCAGTTAATTTAGATTTGCCATTTAAGGATACTATTTACGTTTTACGGGAAAAAAAAAATTAGAAGTAAAATTCAGAAAAGGAGTTATTGTAAATAATTATGATAAAAAGCTATTATAAAACACATGGAATAGAAAACAAACTGACTAAAGAAGTGCCTTTCAAAAAGACTTTTTATTGTGTTTTCTTATAAAGCCACAGAAAAAGGCTTCATTCATATACAAAACTGTACAATTATTTGTGCAGTCTAAATTTCTAGATTTCAGTTAAATTTCAGTCTAGATTCTGCATCATTTAACACCTGAAATACTGAAAGACACCAAAGGCTTGTAAGCCACGTTACATTCAGTCTCAAACACCGGCATTTGAACTCAAACATCATTTTTCCCCGCATTGACATCCACGCAAATCAAACTCGTTGAGTGCAATATTTGTTTTTTGATTATCTCAATCATGTCTGGCACAATATAACAACATTAAAGAAATCATAAAACTCGAATAAAATGGCTCAGAGATTGAACCCAGTGACCATCTCGAAAAACACAGTGCGTTAAACGTGCAGCTTCAGAATTATATTTAATATCGTGTATTTTAGTGCAATATGATAATACATACCTTCAGTAATGATAAGAGGTTATTATGTTATGATTTTGCACCGAAGCATCTAGTTTAAGGAAGGCCAGTACAAACACATTAAACAGTAACACGTGTGTGATCCTGTCCACTAACCCACGGAAATATACAGATTGAACCTCTGAAAACACTTCTGTTCATATTCCAGAAAACCTCCTGAAATATTAGTTCAGTAACACTAAAAGAACTGCAATCACATTGCAATCCTGCAATCTAATAATACTAACACAAGAGCATCTAAAATCCTTCAGACAGGCGTCTGCGTTCAGTGTTTGATGGTCAAAGATCACATCTACAGACTGCAGACGTCAGATTACTCTCCAGTCACAAGTCTTTGAACAGTAAGATTTGTAATGTCTTTAAAGAAGTCTCTTCTGCTCACCAAGCCTGCATTTATAGGTAATTATAGAAATTATTACTTTTATTTAGCAAGGATGCTTTAAATTGATCAAAAGTGATGATAAAGACATTTATAATGTTACAAAATATTTCTATTTCAGATAAATGCTGTTCTTCTGAACTTTCTATTCATCAAAGAAACCTGAAAAAATTCTACTCTGCTGTTTTCAACATTATAATAATAATAATAAATGTTTTTTGAGCAGCAGATGAGAATATTAGAATGAGTACTGAAGGATCATGTGACTGCAGTAATGATGGATAAAAATTCAATATTTTAAAATATATTCGAATAGAAAACAGTTATTTTAAATGAATAGTAAAAAATGGATCAAATAAATGCAGGCTTGGTGAGCAGAAGAGACTTCTTTAAAAAACATTTAAAATCTTACTGTTCAAACTTGACTTGACTGGTAGTGATATATTCCACAACATCAGATCAACAAATACTGAATTACTAAATCTTAACTTTAGTATTTTACACTTATGAAATCAAGGCACAGTGATGTGATGTCAGCTCTTGACTGAAATAAAACAACGCAATGTTTGTAACTAAAGGCACAGCAGGTTCAGTCACATGTGGGTCGTTCACACCAGACGGTTGCGTTATTGTTTGTGTATTACTACTTCTGTTCTGTTGCACTGATCTCAGTCCAGGTGTTTAAAAGCAGGAACACGTCCTGTGTGAACGGACCATTTGGTAACACAAATATAAAGTTTTTTGTTTGACCTTTTAAGAGGTTATAAGTTCTGAACAAAGTGTCTGATTGTTAAAGGTGCCACAAGTGATTTCAGGAGTTTTTCAGCTTCAATCGCACACGCCCCTGACTCCACCCACTAACACACACACGCCTTCTGTGCTAAACCCCGCCCACTAAGACACACACACCCTCTATGAGAAACGCCACCCACTGAGACACACCTCTGTGTCAAACTCCGCCCACTGATACAAGCCATCTATTAAACCCCGCCCACAAACCCCGCCCACTAAGACACACACACCCTCTATGAGAAACGCCACCCACTGAGACACACCTCTGTGTCAAACTCCGCCCACTGATACAAGCCATCTATTAAACCCCGCCCACTAAAAGACACACACACACACACACACACACACACACACACACACTTTATGCCAAACTCCACCTATTAAGACACACACACCCTCTATGAGAAACGCCACCCACTGAGACACACCCTCTGTGTCAAACTCCGCCCATTAACACAAGCCCCCTATTAAACCCCGCCCACTAAATTACACACATGTCCCCTATATGCCAAATCCCACCCACTAAGACACACACACCCTCTATAAGAAACTCCACCCACTGAGACACACCCTCTGTGTCAAACTCCGCCCACTGACACAAGCCCCCTATTAAACTCCACCCACTAAAAGACACACACACGCACACACACACACACCTTTTATGCCAAACTCCACCTACTAAGACAGACACACCATCTGTATCAAACCCCACCCACCAAACCGAGGTCTGCAAATCTGAACATGCATAATGACTGACAGGGTTTCTGATTGGCTAAAAAAACAGGCCACTCCCCTTCACTCAAAAAAGGCCTAAATTAAATGTTTTATGTATATGAATTGCATTTAACATTTGAATTACCCAGTTTTACCAAACTAAAAAACGTAATGTGATGCAAATTTGTCTGTCATGTATAAATAAAGCCAGTCAGATTTCTGTAATAGCACTAATAAACAGAATGTGTTCTAAATAAACAAATAACCAGCTTTATATATTTAACATCAATAAATCCAGCTTCTTTAAATCTCATGCATTTGAATATTGCTTGTTCCACAGCTATAGTCATATCTGAACCATGTTCATGCTTTTGAACTGAATAAATTGTTTTCACAATGAACTGATTTATGATGATTCTAAGCCATATGTATAAATGTATTTCGAAAAAATTATTATTTAAATAAAATCAAATAAATGCAAATAGTTGATTATTATGTGTTTTTTTTCTTTCTTGCATTTAGAAATCTGACCTCATTATGTATGACTGACTTATATGCATCACATTAAGTTTATTAGTTTATGTTAAAACAATGTTAGCCAAATTTTACATAGAATTCAAACACATAAATCTTGATTTCACTAAGTACCGAGTTATCAGACGGACAGCGAGGGATGCGGGTGTCACTTCAGTCAGAATTGAGCGTGATGTGATTTCTCAACATTTGATGTGTGATACTCCTAAAAAATCACTGACAGCAGCTTTAAAATCGCTCAAAGTGTTTAAATATGAAAGGAAACAGATGCTGAATGAGCCTGAAGTGTGTGTGTTCTTCAGTCCTTCATCCAGACGCTCGTTTGCTCACGGCGTCAGTCCTGAGGAGGAGTCAGTGTGTGAATCAAGACGACTGACACACACACCACTCTACTGAGAGTGACAGCATCTGAGACACACACACACACAGTTACTGATTGAGTTCAAGTTGAAGTGAGTTAAGCCTGTTTCACACATCTCTGAGTATTTACATGTAAATAAATACATGTATATTTACATGCATGGCTTTTAGGTCTGATTTAGGAGAGACTAAATTCTGGTTTTTATTGTAGATTTGTTTTCTTTTTGTCATAGTTGACAATTAAATTGCACTTTGGGATGCACTCGTTGTATTACAAATAAGTAAATAAACTCAAACTCTTAATATTAAAATGGTTACTGGAAGTGAACCAATTAAACATATTAGAAACTTATTAAAATAAACAAATATGTATGTTAATGTGTGCAATACATTTTTGGACATATATATCATGTACATGTATATTCATTCTAAAGCCTGTCATAACATGATGATATTATACAAGTAAATATAAATAAGAGACATGCATTTAAGAAAAGCATTACAAAAACATAGTTTTTTTGTGTAAACGTTGTTTTAATAAAGGTATAAAAATAAAAAGTTATAAAATTGCATATAAAAATAAAATATATATTGTTGACATACATGGCTGCTGCATATAAAATCATCATATAGATATTATTAACATATGTACATTTTACTATGGGAATTTTACATATGTTTTTATATCTTCATCTACCCAGAGAATGTACATATGTGAAAATTACAAAATTGCCTTTTAGGCAATATATATGGCAATGTCACTCTTGATATAGAGCAATAAATGTCATATTAAATTTCTGTATGGAAATAACCAAACGACATGAGGCAGATCACATTTACATCCAAATGCTAGTTAATCTAATAATCCAGAGCACAAAGTGAAGCCATAAACTTTTATATCATTAAAAGATTGTATTTAGTGCATTTCAACATTTTCTGTTGCATTTATTTAATTTTTTATTCATGCATTTGGCAGATGCTTTCTCCAAAGTAACTTGCATTGCTGTTAGGGTTTGCATTGGATCAGTTCATGCATTTCCTGAGAATCGAATCACTGACGTTAGATGTGTGAAACAGGCCTGAACTAGTTTAGTTAGCTGGTTAGTGAGTGCTGAACTTACAGGAGAGCAGCGGAAAGCCTCAGCGAAATCAAAGCGCTTCACTTCAGTCTAAATAAAAGCAGATCAACAGATCATGATGCTCATCAGGTTAGAGGGACAAACAAGCCAAGATATTAGAAAGCAAACTCAGCACAGAATGGTTACTAGGTTAGTGAAGTGATCATGAGAGCAGCATGTGGCAGTTAGTCACTTCAGGAAAGCATGAGTTATGACAGGAAATAAATTCATCCACAAGCAGAAGAACAGCAAGCTCCATCACATACAGAAAACTAGTCATTTAAAGTCACGCCACCGTTCAGAAGACATGCTAACTACAGAAGCTTTACTTTATATAGTATATTCAATTGGTGTAAATGAAAATGTTAAATTATTAAGAATATTTAGTTTTGTTCATCATGCTTTACTTTTTGTAATCTGCTTTGATCTGCTGTTTACTATTTTTCCTGTAACATTTCATCTAAACATTACCAACCATTCAGAGAACACTCCCATAATGTTTGCAAAATTATAAAATGGAACGTTCCCTTTATGTCTTCTTATGTTTGCATAACTGATAATTTTTTTTTTTTAAATATTTGAAAACCTCAGAACATATTTTGGACCCACTTTATATTAAGTAACCTTAACAACTATGTACTTACATTTAAATTAATAATTTGGTACAATGCACTTATTGTGTACATACGTTACATGTTTTTACATTGTACTTATATTTTAAAAATACCTGCATGTAATTACATCTGTAATTAATTTCTGTAATTACATTTATAATTACACAGTTGACCCATCCCTTACACCTTTACCCACCCTTAAACCTATCCATACCAACAAACCTGTCCCTAACCTTACCTTATCCCACCTCAATAGCAGCAAAA